GGGGCACGGCGGCGCTGGTGCCTTCCCCCGCTCCCGCGGCGCTTCGCGGCCGCCTTGCCTGGTTGCTCACCCCTTGCTTTAGTTTTTATTGTCTCTGTGCCGTTTATTCCGGGGCTTTGCAGATCCAGAGAGCTGCGCGGCAGGGTAGGATCTGGGGGTGCTGGTCGGCTGAACCTGAGCCAGCAGCGTGCCCAGCCTCCCGGCTTGTGTCAGTGTAGCCAGCAGGAGCAGGGAAGTGACCGTCCCCCTGTACCCACCACTGGTGAGGCTGCACCTCGAAAAGGGGCTGAAGCACAGACCTTGCAAGGAGTAGCTGAGGGAGCTGGGGTTGTTCAGTCTGGAGAAGAGGAGGCTCTGGGGAGACCTCAGTGCTCTCTACAACTACCTGAAAGGAGGCTGTAGTGAGGCGGGGGTCAATCTCTCCCCCAAAATAACCACAGATAGAACAGGAGGAAATGGCCTCAAGTTGAAACAAGTTAGCTGAACCAGGTTCAAGCTGAACTGGCAGGTGCAGTTTGGACATAAGGAAGAATTTCTATACGGAAAGCTTTGGAACAGGCTGTCGAAGAGGAACAGGCAGCGAAGTGGTGGAGTCACCATCTCTGGCAGCGTTCAGGAACCGTGCAGATGAGGCGCTTAGGGACATGGTTTAGCAGGTTGAGTGTTGAGTCGCTCACGATTGGGCTCAATGGTCTTGAAGGTCTTTTCCAACCATTATGATTCTACTATCTTTTATTATCTTTAATGTCATGAAATTCAAAGCCAAAGGATTTAGTGTCATCACACTCCAGGTCTGTAGGACAGAAGATCGCAAGCATGCTTTTGCATATAGGTCTAAAAGGGGGTACTTCTCTGCCCCATAGGCCAGGAATAGTGTTCTTGGAAGAGAGCATTTGAAATATGCTTGAAATGTGGGCTTTTCTTAAGATTGGTCATCCTTGGTGGCTCTTTGATGCCCTTCCTCAGCCTCCTGGAAGGACCTGCTGTCCCAGAGCCAGGAAGGGGATGCAGCATCTCTAAAAGCAGCATTTCCAACACCAGCTTTCACAGAGTCACAGA